CTTAATATATTATGACGTTTTTTTTACTTTTTATGCCTTACTATACTATGACGTTTTTTTGACTTTTTATGCCTTACTATACTATGAGGTTTTTTTTTAACTTTTTATGACTTATTAGACTATGACGTTTTTATGACTTTTCATGCCTTACTATTCTATGACTTTTTATGACTTTTTATGCCTTACTATACTATGACGTTTTTTTTTATTTTTCATGCCTTACTATATTATGACTTTTTATGCCTTACTATTCTATGACTTTGTATGTCTTACTATATTATGACTTTTTTATGTCCATGTGACGTTTTTTTGACTTTTTATGCCTTACTATACTATGATGTTTTTTTTACTTTTCATGCCTTACTATACTATAATTTTTTTTGACTTTTTATGCCTTACTATACTATGAATTTTTTTGACTTTTTATGCCTCACTATACTATGACTTTTAATGCCTGACTATACTATGACGTTTTTATGCCTTACTATACTATGACGTTTTTATGACTTTTTATGCCTTACTATACTATTACGTTTTTTTTTACTTTTCATGCCTTACTATACTATGACTTTTTATGCCTTACTCTTCTATGACTTTTTATGCCTTACTATACTATGACGTTTTTTTGACTTTTTATGCCTTACTATACTATGACTTTTTTTTTACTTTTCATGCCTTACTATACTATGAATTTTTTTGACTTTTTATGCCTCACTATACTATGACTTTTTTTTTACTTTTTATGCCTTACTAAACTATGACTTTTTTTTACTTTTTATGCCTTATTATACTATGACTTTTTATGTCTTACTATATTATGACTTTTTTATGTCCATTATAATGTCGTTTTTATGACTTTTTATGCCTTACTATTCTATGACTTTTTACGCTTTACTATACTATGATGTTTTTTTGACTTTTTACGCCTTAATATACTATGTCGTTTTTATGACTTTTTATACCTTACTATACTATGACTTTTTATGCCGTATTATATTATGACTTTTTTTTTATCTTTTTATGCCTTACTATACTATGATGTTTTTTTGACTTTTTATGCCTTACTATACTATGACTTTTTTTGAGTTTTTATGACTTACTATACTATTACTTTTTGTGCCTTACTATACTATGACTTTTTTTGACATTTTATGCCTTACTATACTATGACTTTTTTTTATTTTAATGCCTTACTATATTATGACGTTTTTTTTACTTTTCATGCCTCACTATACTATGACTTTTTTTTAACTTTTTATGCCTTACTATACTATGACTTTTTTTTGACTTTTTATGCCTTAATATACTATGACTTTTTTTTGACTTTTTATGCCTTATTATACTATGACTTTTTATGTCTTAATATATTATGACTTTTTTTTAACTTTTTATGCCTTACTATTCTATGACTTTTTATGCCTTACTATTCTATGACTTTTTATGCCTTACTATTCTATGACTTTTTATGCCTTACTATTCTATGACTTTTTATGCCTTACTATTCTATGACTTTTTATGCCTTACTATTCTATGACTTTTTATGCCTTACTATTCTATGACTTTTTATGCCTTACTATTCTATGACTTTTTATGCCTTACTATTCTATGACTTTTTATGCCTTACTATTCTATGACTTTTTATGCCTTACTATTCTATGACTTTTTATGCCTTACTATTCTATGACTTTTTATGCCTTACTATTCTATGACTTTTTATGCCTTACTATTCTATGACTTTTTATGCCTTACTATTCTATGACTTTTTATGCCTTACTATTCTATGACTTTTTATGCCTTACTATTCTATGACTTTTTATGCCTTACTATTCTATGACTTTTTATGCCTTACTATTCTATGACTTTTTATGCCTTACTATACTATGACTTTTTTTTACTTTTTATGCCTGACTATACTATGACGCTTTTATGACTTTTTATGCCTTACTATACTATGATACTTTCTGCTTATCTATACTAAGATGTTTTTTTTTACTTTTTATACTTTACTGTACCATTGTCTTTTACCTTACTATACTATGACATTTTTTGCCTCACTAAATTATTACGTTTTTTTTTTACTCTTCTTGCCTTATTATAGTATGATGTTTTTTTATTTACTATACTATGATGTTTTCATTAAATTTTTATCACATTAATATACTATGACGTTTTTGTGACATTTTTTTACGCCCTATTCTAGCATTACGTCTTTCATGCCTCACTATAGTATGACGTTTTCTTGTCATAGTTTTTTCTTGTTAGGAGTTTAGTGTTAGAATAAAGACCTGCCTTAAATAAAAGTCTGTTACGATGTGGAGTTGAAGTAAATAAAGATGTAACTATTGTGGATCTAGACAGAGGCTGTGATCTGTGAGAGACTACACAAGAAAGATAATGAATTCGGTGTGTTTGCCATCACAGTTCATCTGGTAGACAGAATGCTTTCGGTTTCTTCTTTACTCTGGCTGCACAGGTTCGAGTCCGACCTTCGCTGCATGTCAGTCTTTCTCTCCAATTTTCCTGTCTCTCTTTCACTATGACTGTATCAAAGCAAAGTTTAGACCCAGCCTTGTTTTTCCACACTCATGTGATAGTACTTTTACTTCAGCTGTGGATCTGAACACGTCTCCTCAACCGCTGGACGTTATTTATCTTCTGATAACAGAAAGTGAAGGAAACAGACTCACACCAGCTGCTGATCCTTCGCCTTTACAATAAAAAGATTTTTATTGTTTTTTTGTTTTTTTTTTTTAAAATCACATTTTCTTGTTCTTGTTCCAAAATAAACAAATGAATTCCTCAGTCTACAGCCGTGGTTACAGTCAGAGAATCTACATGTGGTGACGCTGAGCTTTTAAGAACTGGTTAAACACATACGCATCTGACTTTTAAAGACTGAATTCAGAATATCTTCAGAAATAAATATATATGAACAAATTTTCTGTAACCAGAATATTTATTAAATGTGAAAATTTGTTGAACAACAAAGAAAATGTTTCATATTGTGAAATAAAATGTACCCTGGACAGAATTATTTGATGAATTTAAATTAGTTCAGTGACCTTTGACTTTTCATTCAGATATTCTGCTTAAATATAAAATTGGTTCATTTGATTTGTTTCTGAATTATGTTCTTGAAATCCAGGAGTGCCAGTAATTCTGACCAAGACTGTATCTGTGGTAAAATATTTTAAACTCAAGGTTCGCTTACTTGCTTTTTCTGAATCTTTTGACTGTGTCTCATGGCCTTAATCAGCAAAGAGAACTTGGTAAAGATGAGGAAACACATTCAAAAAATTGAGTCTTGACTGGAAACATATTATAAGATTATATTTGTCCAACACAGTTTGTTACACATTACTCAATTAATGGTCAAACCAAAGCCGAAGGTAAAGATGTTGATTATTTAAATCTGTCAACTTGTTGGTTCAGCTGTAGATTTCAGCCTGTGATTCATGCGTTGCCGTGGGTTACTCTGGGTGGTTTTTACTCTGTCTTCAGTTTAATGTCTGAAACAATGTCTCAGCAAATCCAGTCTGTTCGTAAATCCACCTCAGTGTCCGTGTGACCGTCCTGTGATAGAAACCATCCACAGACTGCTGCTGTGTGTCCGTCTGACACAGAAACAGCTGAAGTTCTGTCTCTGCTGTGGGACCGGACTTGGTTCTTCAACCTCCTGGACCGGGTCAGGACCAGCGGACCAGCACCTGGTTTCCGTCCTCTATGGAGTAAAACTGTAGAGTCTTCAGGTCGCTGTCAATTTCAAACTCTGTCCCCACCATCTGGACAGAAAAGAACATTTAACTTTCATCAGAGAAAACGAGGAGTTTGATCTGAATTGATTCATCAACAATTTAATTAAGTCATTTTGTCTCACTGAGTCCTTTAAAAACTAGATTAGTTAATATAACGAACTCCTTTCACTTGTTTCTAGAATAAAGTGTCAGTTTTCTTGATTGTAGGTTGAAACAATCGTCCTGGTTGATCTGATGCTCAATAATGATACTCAACACTGATGAAAACAACCGCTAACACTGTGTCAGCCACTGCCAGTTACAAGCTAACAAACAACATAAACAAATAAAAGATGCTAACTGCGCTAACCATTTTTGAAAGATGCTAACTGCCCTAACCGTTCTGAAAAGATGCTAACTGTGCTAAAAGAGGCTAACTGCGCTAACTGCTCTGAAAAGATGCTAACTGTGCTAAAAGAGGCTAACTGCGCTAACTGCTCTGAAAAGATGCTAACTGTGCTAAAAGAGGCTAACTGCGCTAACTGCTCTGAAAAGATGCTAACTAGGCTATTTTGAAAAGATGCTAACTACGCTAACGGTTCTGATCCGTCTGCTAGTCTCTGGTTCTGGTCTCAACAGTCTCCTCCTCTGAGTCTGGGTCTGACTGAGGCTCAAACATGTGGCTGATGTTTCCTCCTCTCACCATCTTGATACTCTCTGCTCTTTCACCTGTCCACCTGGAGCAAGCAGGTGGTGGGCGGGGCTCAAAGCCTGATCCACATTTCCCAACCAGGAAGTAAGAGTAGATGAAAACCATGTTAAAGAAAATACGAATGATGTTAAATAACGACTGTAAACAACTACCTGCAATCTCAACTCACCTGTCTGCTCAGGTGTTATAACATATATGTATATAAGTGCTGTTGTGTGTGAGCATGCGTCACCTTGGGGCTGGTGTAGGTGAGCTTCAGATCTGCCACAGGGACCTTCAGCAGTCGGTACAGGAGTCCCTTCACCTTCTGAACCTCCATGGTGGCTGAGAACAGAACCACACTCTGCGTCACTCGACTGAACAACGTTTTATTCTGGTTTGATTCACGTCGGTCGTTTGTGTCGTTTTACCTGGAAGCTTCTTCTCGATCGGCTTCCGCTCGCCGGCATCAGGAAACACAAACGTGATCTCTGGAGAGGAGAGATGAGAGCGGGAAACATCATGTCAGCTGCTGTGTGTTCACTCAGGAGGGAAAAAAAACACACATTAACTGTGTATACGAGCCAATCAGAGAGCAGGAAGAGGTGGACTCACTTAACAGCTGATTTTTCAGGGCGAACGGCTCCGGCTTCTTCAGCTCTCCTTCCTCTGGAGCTCCGTACTCTGAGAACAGAACAAGATGACCAGCACTGACAGAGCAGACGTCTGAAGGCTTCTGGGAAAACTTTGAATATTTAAAAGTGAAAAATACTTTTTATCTACAGAAAAGAATAAAAACAGGAACCATCCGAACCTCTGGACTCAGTTTCTCACATTGTCTAAACTTACTGTCGATGAGGGTCTGGTAACGAGGGTGCTGACTGATGAACTGGGCACTGGGCTGACTCCGCCCCCCTGCCTTCAGCCACTCCTCTCCAAACATCTTGATGTAGTCCAGCTCCGCCCCCTTCCTGTCCTCAGGTTGTATCTGATGGAAACCATGGCAACGAGTCAGCTAGAGCACGCACACACACACACACACACACACACACACACACACACACACACACACACACCTCACAGCTGTTGAGGAGGACCAGTCGTCCCAGTTTGGCGATCAGTATCTGATTGGCTGTTTTGGGGTTTCGGTCGCTGCTCGTCAGTCGGTTACCACGACACGAAAACTGAACCAGACTACGAAGTTTGGCTAGCTCGTCCACCACACACCACTGAGAGAGAGAGGGGGGGGGAGATAATGAAGCCATACTTTTATTTTGAAAATATCTTATTTTACAGTAAAACTGAGGTGAGTAAATCAGCCGTGAGACTCAATATGTTCGTGAAGTGTAAAGACTTTAAGTCCGTCTTTATCACAACCACACACTCACCTCAGTGATGTTGTTGCGGTCCAGGCTGAGTTTCTTCAGAGCGGGAAACATTTCTGTCGGAGCTCCTGCACAGAAAAGAGTCCGAGTTTAAAACTGGGAAATCAACAGTTAAAGAGTTTCACACAACAGGAAACAGGAAATTCAGTGTTTAAGAAGGAGGATAGATGCTGATTTTAATTAAAAAATAAAAGTTATTCAAAAGCTTTTTAAATTACATTTTATTTTTTACATTGCTGCTTAAATTGTGTTTCTACTGTAAATCATAACCTTATTCACTTTGTTTAACTGTGTATTTATGTGTTTGCACATGTAATATTCTAATTTGTGCTTTTGATTCGTTCTGTTCAAATAAACTTTATTATTATGAAGTTGTGACATGAAATGTGACTTTACCAGGTGCAGCGTCGTCAAAGCGAATGACGGACAGTCCGGTGTTGGACAAGTTCAGCTGCTCCAGTCTGTCATCAAACAACACACAAGAGCTCATCACATCTGCTTTAGGAACATGAACAGGAAATGACTAGAACATAAAATAATTCAAATTACAAACAACAACACAACAAACACGAGGTTTCATGGTTTCGACTATCTCCATACTTTGTATTAAAGGTAGTAAAATACAGATAAATACATGATGTGAGATATGAAACATATTTCAACACCTATGATCAACATCTGAGGATAAACTGTGACACTTCACAATAAAAGCCTCCAGTTTTTCCTCCAGTTCCCTGCAGCTGGGAGACTTTTACTGTGAAGCAACGAACACAAAAGTGAGGCCAGGGTCAAAGTTCAGTTTTAATAAAAGTCGATTTACTGTCAAAAGTTTTGAAGAATAATCAGGACTCGTTTTAGAGCAGGAGCTTCATCAAACTTCTTTTCTTCTGTCTTTATTCTTTTGAATTTGATAAAATAAATCACTTTGGAAAGTCCCATTGTTGATTCATATCTGATCATAAAACTGGCAGCCTCTATTGATTTCTGATCAGATCATCTGATTGGCCACCGACAGCAGACGCTCCGGCTCAGACTCTTACAGTAACTTTAACCTGTAAAACTTTCTTTTATTCTTAAATAATCCTAATGTATTGATCAGGGTGATGGACGATGATCGGGACAGTGTCAGTGACTGGGTGCGTTGTGGACTGTACCTGGGCAGAGCAGAGAGACTGAGCACGCTCTCCTGGACTAAAGGATTAGAGGACAGACTGAGACTCTTCAGGGACTGCAGGACGTCCTCCGGCCTTTAAAGGGTTAAACACGTCAGAGACACAGGGGTTAGTGTCGGGACCACAGACGGACCGGGTGCTGGTCCGGATTGTGAGGTGGAGGAGTTTGAAGGAAACAGGATTTACCTCTGCAGCTCTGTGATGTTGTTCTCCTCCACACACAGATCCTCCAGCTGAGGCCACATGGGGGCGCAGTGCAGGATCTGACCAGAGACCAGCACAGAGTCAGGACAGGAAGTGAATCGATATCAAACAATCAACATAACATGATGTTTGACGAATTAAACCCTGACATCACAAAGAGGCTGCCACTTTTATTTTGAAGCTTAACAGGAAAAAGGAGGGATCAGAAAAGGATTTTTTAATTTCAAGAGACTTTCAAGTGATTCAAATTTTCTATGAATAACTCTTGTAAAATAAAAACAAATTACATTATTTAATTTTATTTTCTTATCAATTAAACTAATAAATAACAAATTTTAAGTCATTATTAATTTAAAAAAAATGTATCAATGATAGTTTTTATATAAAACTTTCCATTTTTATGCTGGGTTCACAGGATATGGGATATAAGGTCGACATGGGAAAAATTTATAAATATTATATTTATAAATAATAAATATGTTTTATTACCACAAATAAATAAACAAATTAAAAACATATACATAAAATATTCATAAATACTGGTAACACAAATCTGATTGTGCTATATGAATGTTTTATCTATATATATACATATATAGTACACAATTTTTTTTAAAATTTAAATTACATAAATATGATGTATATAAATACATACTGTTTCAATACCCAAAATAAATAAACAAATACTAATAATAACTAATAATACTAAATAATATATTTTTAATATATATAAGACATAAAATATTTATAAATATTGGTCCAATATCTGTCTGTGGGTTTATACATTTGTATTTACTTATTGTATTGGATTGTTCGTGTTTATATTTCTGTATATTAGTTTTTACTTGTAATAAATAATAACATTTTTTAGTAGCTTCAATAAAATAAATAAATAAATGCACAACTACAAAATATGTTAAAAATTATGCTCATATAAATATTCAAGCAAACATACAGGGTTTTATGTCAGTATCAAAAAAATATAATAACAATAAATTTTATATAAATATATTTTACATCTCTTTCTGTGACAGTGGAGACAAGTGACTGTAAAACTGATCCTGGTGATGAAACATGAACAAAGACTGTGTGTGTGTGTGTGTGTGTGTGTGTGTGTGTGGTGTTATGTACAGAGGTGTGTACCTGTGGCCAGGTGAGGTAACAGCTGTTCAGAGCCAGGACTTTGATGTTGGAGAAAGCCTGGCAGTGAGTCGAGGGGTCAGAGGTCAAACGCAGTCTGTTGTTGCTAAAGAATGAAACAAGATGAAACTATCAATGACGGGACACACACACAGACACACACACACACACACACACACACACACACACACACACACACACACACACACACACACACCCACACACACACACACACACACACACACACACACACACACACACACACACACACACACACACACACACACAGCGTACCTGAGCTGTAGTCCCTCCAGTCTCTCCAGCTGCTGCGTGACGGCGGCCACGTCCTCCCAGCAGGACAGCAGAGTCCCACTCATGTCCAACCACTGGACGTCTGATCGCTGCTGTTAAGGCGTCACTCAACACAAACACTCACAACCTGACAGACGCAACAGTTACTGAGCACCCTCGTTGTTCTGCTGACATCATCTGGGACGTACGGGTCTTTATCAAACTCAGTTCATATTTTTAATGTTCAGATTTTAATGATTATTTTTCATCGTCGGGACATCGCTGTCTTTGAGGGAGCTGCACACAACTGTAAAGATATCACCTGTAAAACCAGTACTGCTACTACTATTACTTCTACTAATACTACTACTACCTCAGCCTCTTCTTGTTTTCATGAGGAGATGGAGATTTTCTTTAAGTACGACAGAGAGATAACATAAGAGATTAATAAAAGTACATGTGGATGAGGCCTGAGTGAAACATCAGCAAAGTTCTCAGGTGTGTCTTGTGTTTAGTTATTCCTCTACCTCCTTTAGTAATAATGATACATGTGTATTTGCTGTAATGGAGGCGAGGCTCAGTGTACTGGAAGCACTCCTCCTCTTCCCTGCAGTTCCCAGACGGCTGGGAAACCAGAGCGGCTCGGTGGACAGAAAGAAAGAAAGAAATTTAGTCAGTCATTCTGTCAGTCAGGGACATCCCAGATTATAGGACTGGCCCTGCTGTTGCGATCCAGTCAAAAACATTAATCCTCATGGTGGAACTTCACCCTAAAGCAATAACTCACATCCCCTCAGTGAGAAGAGACTCTGCAGAAAGATACTGGGTGTTGTTTTCTTGATTTCTCCATCGTCTCCGGGGCCGTTCACCTCACAGCGACTCAGTATCACTGACGGAAGACTCTCATAACTACAGAGACAAAAAAAAGTGAAGGTGAAATTAACTGACAGAACTGTGACACACGACAGTGCATCTCTTTCTCCGTACCTGCGCTCCTCGACACACCACCACTTCAGCTTCTTGTCGGAGATGGAGATCTCCTCACTCAGCACCTCCTCTGTGTCGACCTGGTACACCTGTCGCACAGCGGCCAGGTAGTCCACGCCAAAGCTCGCCTTCGCCGGGCGGACGAAGGAGCCTCCTTTAATGTGACTGAGAGAGTCCAAAGAAAACAGTCAGGGACACAACATTCAAGTTTCAGCCATAAAACAGCGAAAAAAGATTCTAATTCTATTTATTGAATCTATCAAATATACATCACTCGTCATCAGACTACTTCATTTTAAGCTACTGAGCAAACACGACACCAGAACTCTGACATTCAGGTGAACTGAGAAGAATTGTACTGTCATGTAGTTTCATGTGACATTAAAGTGAGGATCACCTGCATGTAAAATACTGGACTCCCTCGTGGCTGCCGTCATGCTTCCCTCTGCCGGGGTCATCCCACTCCACGCCGAGCCACAGCCCTGAACACACAACACACACATTTGGTTCCTTTGTTTCCTCCGTCAATTATCTCAATGTTTCTGTTGTTTGGTGTTTGGACCTGAATATCTCTGTTCATACTGACTCAATAAAGATTAGTATTATTTTATTACTCAAAGCTGTTCAACGACTTGTCAAACAGAGTTGTTTTTAAAATGTGCTTTAAAAACAAAATTACTTTCCTTATTTTGTCGTGTATGGAGAAAACCTGACGCCAAACTCCATTAATTAAAAGCATTTTATTACTGTTTTATTTAGTGGGATGTCTGAAGATACTTTACTGACTTATTGAGAAACATTGACCTATAACTGGTCAGAGTAATAGAGTCAGTGGATGACTGGAGTTTCCATCTGGCAGCCCGGTTCTGACCTGCTGTGGGTGGTACCGGACCCACGTACCGCACCGTGGCCCGCTCCCCGCCGCAGGACACCCGCCTGCCCACCGCATCCTCCGGCACCTCCGGTTCCGTCTGGTCGACTCCCATCGAACCCCCTGCCGAGCAGAGAAACCCCGAAACCGAAAAGAAAGACAGTCAACGCGGGAACCAGCTCCTAGTGCTGTAATGTCGGTTAACTAATTACGTTGCGTCACGTTAATTTTTACTTATTTTGTGACATTATAACATGACGTCAGCTGAACTTATTCTTCTATTGGCCCCCGAAATTTCACAAACGCATGTAAAATACTTTCTGCTATTTAAAAAAGAACTAAAAACTTACCTGTAACGCTTAAAGATGTAGATTTAGGAGCGTGGTCGCTCCTTCTTCTTCCCCTATGAGCGTGTTAGCTGCTGAGCTAGCTCCCGAACCAAAACATTACACAGCTGAGCCTCAGCGGAAGTGACCGATTTCAACGTTGCACTCGTTTCCTGTGAAACTTTTCTAACGAAAATCAATAAAAAATATACAATAAATTAAACATACGTTTCTTTTTACTTACATTATCTTTGCGTCTGTTTAATTACAATCGTCTTGGACCGGAAGTGTGCCGCTCGGTGGCGTCAAATCAACGCTAATTCAAAGAACAATTAAAGGAACCTTTGTTTCGCTCTGTCCGTGTTCACCGTGGGGAACAATTCGCAGTAACACAGCAGTGTGCTTGGAAAGAAAACGTGTGGATGCGCCGTAACTATCATGTAATTGCAGTTTAAGTCCTAGAAATCCGTGTACATGCTGCAGTTTACCGGATAAATTATTTATTTCCAATAAGAAGAACGAACAGGAAGTCAGTCTCCGAGTGACGCCGGAGGAACCCGAAGAAACGATGAAGAAGAAACTTCACCAGAGGTTTGTTTACACCTTTTTACTCCCCAATGTATCGTCAGTGAAAATAACCTGCGTCTTATCTCTGACCTCGGATTCATTTTCAGTATTAACAGATAATAATAGTAATAATTAGTTCATTAATTTTAACAGTTTGCGGGTGAGGCAGCGGCCTGCAGACAGAACTCAGGGCAAAGCGGCTTAAGTTTTATTTCATATAAACCCTCAGTTTATATCATATAACCTATAACCTATAAAAAATTAAAGATTAAAGTATATAACTTATATAAATACATTGACCAATCAATCAATTGAATGGGAAAGTAATTAGTAGATTAATTGCTCACCAGAAGTTGCAGCATTAAACAGAATATTTATTGATAAAAAGAAAATGAATCTCTTTGGATTCTTATCTTCCCCATGTCTGTCCATCCTGGAAGACAGATCCCTCCTCAGTTGGGATCCACTTCCTCCTTTTTTCCACATTAAAACTTTTTGTGGGAGTTTCTCTTTTTCTGAATCGAGCCTCTGAAGACGGATGATTTTCTCATTCTGCAGCAAATTAGTGATTTGTGATATTTTGCTGTATAAATAAATTCAACTTGACTCTTTAGTTAAGCATCTTTAAAAGTAGGTTTTTCAGACTCAGTATTTTCTTCATGTGAGTGTTTCTGTCCTCAGTGGAGAGGCGTCATCAGAACAACAGTCAGCTGACTACGTGGTGGGTCAGGTGTCAGGAAGTTTGTTCCAGAAGAACGCGGCAGCTTCTGGGTCGCTGTCGACTTTATTCAGCACCGCTGCACCAGCTGCATCTCTGTTGTTTCAGCCTGCGCCCGAGGTGAACACACACACACACACACACACACACACACACACACACACACACACACACACACACACACACACACACACGTAAACGTACGCACACATTTACTGTAGATTTTTAACAAACATACAGGAGTAGGGACTATTTTCAGCAGTGGATTAATCCACATTTGGTGCTGTAGTGAGTATTTGAGTCATGTGACACACACAGTTCCTGTTTGACTCTGCACATGAGAATATCACTTTAACGTATCTCGTGTTGTTGGTTGTGTTGTGTTTTGTGTCGTCATGGCAGCCGGTTCAGAGGAGCACAGAGGAAAAGCAGCAGCAGAATGAAACTCCAGAGGTCAAAGGTCAACCAGGGCAGAAGAAGAAGAAGCAGCCGCCAAAGGAGAAATCAGCAGCCGACCAGAAGCTGGAAAACAGGTGAGAGGTTCAGTTTCTTCCTCTACTTTCAGTCTTTTCTTCCTCTTATAGAAAAATCTAAAATCAATGAATCTTCATCGTTCCTTTGATTTGTTGAACAGGCGTCAAATGAAGCAGCTTCAGTCTGAAAACCTTCATCTGTGACTCTGTCTCTTTTCATGTCTCTCCGTCCTCTTCCTCCTCGGCGGCTGGTTTCAGGGAGAGCGGTCTGCAGGAGGCGGACGACGACGAGCGAGGGCAGGAGACGTCGGTGAAGCAGAAGAAGAAGAAGAGGAAGGCGTCGGAGTCGGGCGGAGAGAAGGATGCGGAGCACTGGGTGATGAAGCGGCAGAGGCTGAAGGCCAGCAGAGAGGAGGAGGCCGTGAAGAGCAAGAGGACGGTGTTCGTCGGCAACCTGCCCATCAGCTGCACCAAGAAGGTGATGTTGAGTTTGTGTGTCTGATCAGTGCAGGATGTTTCCATGTGAGTCGACGAGTTGTTGTTCATTTGATATTTTTGAGACGTGAACAAAACAGGAAGTAAACTCTTCTGTCCTTCAGACGCTGCGGAGCCTCTTCAGGGATCAAGGATCCATCGACTCCATCCGCTTTCGCTCCGTGGTAAAAACAACAACACAAACATCCAGCAAACAGTTCGGTCCTGAGCCGACTCAGTTCATCAGCTTAATTAAAATATAATATTAAAAAACACTGAATAAATAACAGAGTTTATTACAGTGTGGGTCTCATTTTCATAGTGCTGTCCATCATTTGTTCACATTATTATTGACTCACTTTTTCTCCCAGGAAGCATCTGTGCTCCTACGTTGAAAAAAATCTAGGAACATGTGTTTTCCTTTAATAAAGTTGAAATTATTTAATTAAACATATTTGAATCACATGATTTTTCCCGACACACCGAGTCGTCGTCGTCATTGTTGTGAAAAAAACAAAATAGAGGCTGAATTTTATAGAAGTCTTTCATCGCAAATACAAGTGAAACTCTCACACTGTATTGTAGCATTAGCCGGTGAGCTAACAGTTCACACGCAAGCCAGAAAAACTGCAAACTCACGGGTCAAAGTTCACCAGAGCTGAACTGATTCATTTTAGCTCTGTATGAAAAAAACACAGATTATAGTGATTTTGTTTTTAAATGTAGCTGTGACCTGAACTTCCTCCTCTGGGACTGGAAGAAGTTTCCAAATGAATGAGTGAATCTTTCTCAGTTATCACATGATTCTCTCTTTTCTTGATGGACTCTTTAACATCCTCAGTTTTTCCTCAGTCCCTTCGGTCCGTTCAGAGGTTTGCAGCAGCGACATCTAGAGGCCGACAGAGACACTGACGCTCGTCTGTTTGTCCCCTGCAGGTCAGAGAGGATCCGTCCATGTCCCGCAAGGTCGCAGCGATCAAGTACGTTTGTGTCTGTGTTTCTTCTTCTGCATCTCATCACGTCACATTATTAAAGAGTCAAAGAGAAGATTCATTCACAGCTTCTGATATTCATAATCAAAACATAAAGACACAACTACAGGAATAATTTGTCTGTTTTTAAAGATGCAGAAGCAAAGTGACTTTTAAAAGTCAGAAATCTGATGACGATATAAACACGGCTGAAACGATTCATTGATTCATTGATTGAACTAATGGCAGAAAATGAAATTGCCAACAGTTTGACAGTCGATTAATTTCAGTCTCATTCAGGAATGCAAAAAATCCTCTTGTGCAAAACTTGAAATTTTCTATTTTTCACACTTTGAACTTAAATTAGTTTTAAACAAAAAAAAACTTTTGAAAATGTTTCTGGAACTTATGTTGAAAATTATTTTACACTAAAATAAACAAATACATTTAGAAATTGTTAGTCTGTTAGTGCACAGTTTATCCTCTGGTTGTTTTTGCATAATCCCTCACCGGCTTCCCACCAACAAACACAAAACTACCAAACAGCATCTTCTTTCTCTTTTATATGAAATATATTTTTTGTTCATTTTACTTCACAGACGTCAAATTCATCCCAAGAAGCAAAGCGTGAACGCTTACGTGGTGTTTAAAGACGAGGAGGGGGTCGCCAAGGCGTTAGAAAGGTCAGACACAGTAAACCTGCAGCTTGTAATACTGCTGTTCGCTAACGGCTAACGGCTAATGACCTGTGGAACTGTTCACTCTGACAGGAACGGCCTGGAGATCGAGAAAGACTTTCACATCCGAGTGGACCGAGTGACTGACAGCTCGGCAGTAAGTCTCCGGCCGTCAGCTTTAACCCGTTCCAGTTCAAATCAGCTGCTGCGTGTTTGATGATGAACTCTGTGAATGTTCTTCTGTTGCAGCACGATCACAAACGTTCTGTTTTCGTGGGGAATCTTTCGTTCGGTGAGTTTTTCTCTCCGGTCTCAATTAATGACGGCAGATCGACTTCAGCAGCAGCCGCTGAACTCTGTGTTTTCTTTGTTTAGAGATTAACGAACTGGCGTTTCGACGGCATTTCGAGGAGTGCGGCCCGGTGGAGGCGGTGAGACTGGTCCGAGACCAGAACTCTGGACTGGGGAAAGGATTCGGCTACGTCCTGTTTGAGGTACGTGACCGTCGTCCTATGTTTGACGTATTTCTACACGGACCTGGTTCTCACTGGGTTTGAAATGAAACATGACAATAAGGTTTTTGTGTCACTGAACGATGAAGGAACACTCTCTCAGGTTTAGGAAACAGGAAGTAAATGGAAAAAATATTTTCCTCTTCTCCTGTGTTTTATTTTGAAATGATCCAATAAAAATAAAGCAGATTTTAGGTAAAAACACTCAGAGAAACCAAATCCTGCAAGGTTTGGATGGTGGGTCCAGGTGGGCGGGGCTTGGTGACTGCTTTGTTGTGACATCACAAAGTTGCCTGACATCTGGTTTTAAGGCTCAGTTTCTGAATGGTTTTATGACCGAACATCTTTTATATTTTACTGTGGAAATATGAGACCGATTCACTTTATAAGAAATAATTATAAAAACCTGTTTTGTGTAAAATATAACTTGATTTTCTACAGTTTCAAAAACACATTAAGTGATGGATGTTTATCTAGGTGAATTTTATTTTGACGAGCCACCTGTTTGTCTGCCGCAGAGCGCCGACTCGGTCCAGCTGGCGTTGGAACTGGACGGCTCGAAGCTGGAGGGCAGGTCCGTCCGGGTGAAGAGGTCGGTGAAGAAAGAGAAGCAGAAGAATAAAACGAACAACACGGGACCCGCAGCGAGGACCGGCAGAGGCCCCGCAAAGGGCCCCGCCAAGGGCCCTGTGAAGGGCTCAGGGAGGGGAGGCTTCAAGTCTCCAAGGAAATTCACTGGAAAACAGCAGAGGTCGACCAAAAGCTCCGGCTCCTTCAAAGGAGAGATGGTGGATCCAAACAAAAAGACTAAAAAGAAAGGACTGAAGAAGAAAGTGAAGCCAAACAAGACTCTTCATATCTGACGCCTTTTATTTTGACACAAGTCAGCTGCCGTTCCATCCAGCTACTTCCTGTCTGTCAAACCGTCTTGTTCTCTGCTACGAAATAAAACCGACAAACCACATGATTCACACATCTGTAAAAAACATCATCATTTATACTTTGTTTTACCTTCTGTTCAGATTAAACTGGTGTTCACCTTGTTTTGTTGAACTATAATTCCTTTCTGTTTCTTTTCTGGTAAATGTTGTAACAGATTTTGGTAGTTGAACGTTTCACAGCTGGATGTGACGGATCAGGACCGTTGAGACTCCAGCTGTGATGGGGATGTAAAACAAACTGAGGTCCGGTTCCTCTGCTTCACGTTTCATTGTGTCGGACAGTTTCAAATAAACTTTGACATTTGAAACTCGTCTCCACCGCAGCAGCTGAAACAGGTTCAGAGTTCCAGGTGAGCAACATTTGTTACTGAGGCAGTCGTTCAGTGTTTTTAAAGCCACACACCTGAATAACCACCGACCTGTGAGGGACATCACGAAAGCTTCAGGAAACCTTGGTGTTCGGACTCGGTGTGATTGACGATGAGAGCCACAAATGGTTTGTTGCCGTCTGTTTTGATCAGTGACCTGTGTCAAAAGGAAGCTAGAATCACCTCCTCGTGGTCGTATCCCTCCGCCACTCAGACTAGTTCCAGGTCACATCCTGTTTATCCAGAGTAAAAAATATGAACCATTGGTGTGAAGCCTTGAGTAATGGCTAATCACACTGACCTTGACCTTTGACCTCTAGCCACCAAAATCTAATCAGTTCATCTTTGAGTCCAAATAAACGTTTGTGCCAAATTTAAAGAAGTTGTATAAAGACATTACAGAGATATCACCTTCACGAGAATGAGACGGACGGACGACCTGAAAACAAAATGTCTCCTGCTCTGACCGTCGCCGGCGTGGAGGAATCAAAAGACAGAAATTATCTCACGGTGCAGATTTGTTTTTTCACAGCGGAGGATGAAGGAGAGACCTCGAACCGAAGCTTTAGAAGACTGTGTTTAGGATCTGTTCACTTCCTGGAGGAAAAGAGCCGCGAGTGTTTCGTCCAACCAGGTACAAGATCACACCTGTCCGTCCACGTGTAGATTCGCCCTGATACAAAACTCAGACACATGTTGATAGTTTGTTCATTTTTTATTATCATTATTATTATTATTATTATTAATTTTTTCCTGAAGAGGTTCATCCTCTTCAACATGAACAAAACATTTCATCACTTTTTAAAAAGCGTTTCCGAGTCTAAACCGAAAAGAAAGACGACTGATAACAAACAATAAATACTTAGTGAAGCATCCGAGCAGAGAGAAGATGGTCGTTCACCGTTCTACCGCTGACACCAGGACGACCATGAAGACGGCTCAAACACAGTGTAAACCTGGGATATGCTGCTGTCAGGGCGCGTGTCTGCCGCCCTGAAGGAAGGAGCCGAGTAACGTTTTCCACAGGAACCCAGTCCAGGTAGTTAGTACTGTACATAGCTAATGTTGGCGGCAGGGGGAGGGGCTTGTTTGCGTTTCAGTGAGCTGTATGATGGCGATGTTCTAATACCCCAAAACGGGTAATTTAAGTAAAAAAAAACAAACACTACTGTCATGGAGAAACCAGGAATAAAAAAACTAATTCCCTTCAGGACGCCTTGGTGGGAGGTGATGGACGTCGGCCGGAGCGATGGAGGCCGAGGCGATGGCAGGAGTCGGTCCACTGAGGAGGAGGAGGAGGAGGAAGGGTGGTGGGCGGGGCTTGTTTCGTCTCAGTCCACCCCTTATTCTATATCGTCCTCGCTCAGACTCTGTGCGCTCACGATACGCTGCAAGAAAACAAACAGAGCTGAAGGAGATTCTGGACAGTCGGGCGGGAAGCCGGGTCAAACTGGACCAGTTAGGGAGACGGTAAGGCTACCTGGCTGATCCTGGACCAGCTGGGGAGGTGTCGGGGCTACCTGGCTGATCCTGGACCAGCTGGGGTGGTGTGGGGGCTACCTGGCTGATCCTGGACTGGTCATGGAGGTTTGGACTACATGACTGTCAGTGGACCAGTAAGGGAAGTCTTGAGACTACCTGGCTGATTCTAGACCAGTGTGGGGGTTACCTGGGTGACCAGTTACCTACCTAGACCACGTTAGACCAGTTAGGAAGATGGGGAGACTACTTGGCGGGGGGCTACACGACTGAGTCTGGATCAGTTTGGAAGTCATGTGGTTGCCTGGTTGATGGTAAGGCCACTTGGATGAAGCTGGACCAGTTGGGTCGTGGAGACTGAGTCTGGACCGGATACGGGGGTGTTGGAGGTACCTGGCCGATTCTGGACTAGTTAGGGTGGGGTGTGGTCACCTGGCTGATGTTGGACCAATCAGAGACTTGTCTGGCCTACCTGGCTGATGCTCGGCAGTTTGGTGAGCAGCATCTGGAAGACGGGCGGGGGCAGAGTCTGCTGCAGGACCTGCAGCAGCTGCTGAGGCTGACCGCACACCGCGATGGCGTTGGTCAGGTGGTCCACGCCTTTCTCATAGTCTCCTGTGGAGGGAAGCAGCAACGCGTCGTTACTGACTGAGAACTGCTGCCGGCACCGACAGTCACACCTCAGTGAAAACAAGGTGTTGGTGTGTGGGGGTGTTACCTTGAGCCAGAAGCTCCTCCCCCAGCTGGATCTCCTCCAGGAAGAACTTCTGCACCGCCTCAGCGTCCTTCAGGTCTGGAAGCTGCAGGACAATCAACAAGTCTTCCTTCATAAGAGTCGGTCCAGAGTGAATCTCTGAAAGCAGGATTAGGTCCTGAGCCCGGCTTTCATGATCCACGCAGGTCTCTTATCTCTGACTAACTCTGGGCTGTTCTGGTTTCCCTCAGTTCTGCCTGGCAGGCTGCACACAAGCTAAACCTCAACACAACACTGTAGAGGAAGCCTGACAGGAAGTGCTGCCGTCAGACGACACTGAGGGCAGAATAACACACCGCTAACAAAGGAGGAATAAATAAAAATATATCGTGACTGTGAAAACTAGTGCTGAGGATCTGCCTTCAAAATAAAAGCCTGAAAATAAAGATTAGTGCTTCCACTAGAAATACTGTTACACATTTAAACCAAACTTTATTTGATACTTAATTAATGAAACATGATGAACAGGAGATTTAAGAGAAATACTAAATTAAACTGACAATAACAATAATATCGTAAATAAGCTTCTAACTCAAAGAGACTGTATGGGATATATTATTATATGTATTATATTTGACAACTGAAATCAGTGTTTACAGCACACTGACTTGTTCTGCTCACCTTTGCCAGACCTGCTCTCTCTTTGGCCACTTTCTGCTTCTTCCTCCCTGTGACACACAAAACAGACGTAAGAGTCCAACCCACAACAGTTTGACTTCATTTAAAAACCAACCAGTTCAAGAAATAGTTCCAGCACACAACAGACCGGGTGTGTTGTGTTTACATCAACACAAGTCACCGCCTCGTCTTTCAGAGACAGACACTGTTAACACACCTGTCACCTGTCCAGCACGCCGCTCACAAACACCACGGCCACATGTTCCTACAGTGACTGAGTCTTACACACTTTTCTTCAAAATAAAACGAGGACAGCAGCGTTTACAAACGTCTCTGTTTTCGGTGATTTGAGAAGTCGTGTGGACGGAGCCTCGAGTCAGTTGCTCAGAGCAGCTCGTGGTTGTTGAGAAGGTTTGACCAGAGAATTTAAAATCAGCTGATCATTCCTGATGAGAATTATTCACCTGCCTCACAGGTGCTACGGAGCCAATTAAGTCCTAATGAGTCAATTAAGGTTTAATGAGTTACTGAAGTTCTGGGACTTTAAAAGGTAGAAGCACTTCTGTTCATGTTCCAGTTCCTGTTTAATTCGTTTCTATTTTTAAGTTAATTAAATAAAAAAGTGCATTAACATTTGTAGAATTTGAACGTCTCATTTAATAAACATTTATTTTTGCCAAAATTCCTTCATACAACAGTAAATACTGCAAACACCTGGTTGCCACGGTGACTGTCTTTATACAGCGGTAGTTCTGTGTTGAGATATCAGTTATTGATCAACTTGATAACTGATAATTGGTATTGGTATCAGCTCTGAAAAAACACATAAGGATTGACACATGAGATAAGTGGCAGGTTGGTTCTGTGCCCAGTGTTAAAGAGCTGTTACCGTCTCTGCAGCGTCGTGTCGCTGGTCCCTGAATAACAGGATAATCTCCATTAGGCTGAAGCCCAGGAGGAGGACGGGGACGCCGACCGTGTCGTTGTGTAACGGCTTCAGATCGAAGCTCGGCCTCATGAATGAGTGTGTCTCTGGTCGGGTCGAGTGAGTGAGTCTCTGTATGAACAGAGTGGAGACACACTGCACTAATCCCCATCGACCGCTAAGGTGCCCATGAGCAAGGCTCTGAACACAGTGGTGGTGGGACTGTGTGTAATCTATAAACATGACCTGGGACGTTGACGACAAGTTTGTTTATATTTAGCTGTTTATTTCATTTATTAACCCTCTGAGGTCGATGGATGTTTCCATTAATATCTCTGTGATAACTCCGCGTAGAAATATCTGTCGACTCGCCACTTTCTCTTTCATATTCTTGCGAGATCAGACGTGACTCACAGACTCTAACATCTGGTTACAGTAGAGTGACAGACGACACTACGACTCAGCGATATTATAAAATTTCATTTTACGCATTTATTATGCATTTAATTACAACTTTCTGAACCTATAAACTTTGCTGAAACATTTCAAGCACCAAAACAATTCATCCACAACAGTAAAGGTTTGTTTTCACAAAATATTTGAAGAATTTAAAAAACTAGGCTTCAAGGATTTATAGGAAGAGCTGAGATTGTTCTGGAAATTGTGATATAAACCATGTGTTTATTATGTTATATGCATGAACCCCTTAAAAAGGGTGAATTTAAGAAATAATGTAGAAATCGAGAAAATGCCCTTTGACCTCAGAGGGATAAACTCTCACCAAACTCCATTGAAAAATCAGTGAGTTTAACATGACCTTGCTAAAATCTACAATCTATTTACTGGATGGAGAATGACATGAAGTATTTTAATAACATTTACAAGCTCCATGTTCAATGCAGCATCTATCACTTTACTCCAATGACTATTACCACTTGAATATTGTTCGCTGGTGACGTTGATCCATTCAGCCTCTCACCAGAATACAACCACAAGGTGTGAATGAATGAAAGAAAGGTGATACTAATAATAATTCAGAGTTAGAAAACATTTCCTCATTAATTCAGTCGTTTCATCATGGATTACCTTTTCTCTCCGCTGGAAGAAAACTGAATTTATTAAACTCTGGACCAAGTGGATCAAACTACGTACTCGTCCATAAAGGGCAGATTTTGTGAAATGTGTTTTTTTCTGACCTTATTGTTTATTTTATTTTACTTCATTTATTCTACTTTCTTCCAGATCCACTTTACACAAGGTAAAGTAAACATTTCCTGTTGTATGATTTGTAACATAAACTGATGCCCTACAATAAAGAATCTAAATTTAGCTGATACAGGTACAAAGTACAAACTTCACAGGTAAACAAAGCAGCTGTGATTGAAGCAGAAACACATTTATATTCAAGTCTTATGACACGTCATCAAAACTTAATTTTTTATACTTATATTTAATTTAATTTAGAAAAGGAAAGACGTGGGATCAATTCTTCTACAGCTAGAAAGGATCTGAAAAATGTGTCCGGTTGTATTTGGTTGGTCGACTATGGGCCGAACTAACCGGAAGTCGTTGTGGACTTGTGATAGGTTCTTATATTTATAGTATAAAATAAATTAATTGGTCGTTTAGTAAGAGAAAGTTATAATGTCTGATTTCTGAACAGAGTTCGGCGTCAGAGCTTCATCACACGAGCCATCCCGCCCGGTACCGGGAATACAGACCCTGTGTCTCAGAGAGGAGGTTAAACCGAGCAGAACCGGACCGGACCGGACCGGAACACACCGGACCGGGCACCAGCTCCCGCGCCCGGTGAAGGTGAGGAAGAGGAGGAGGTCAACACTCACGTTCTCGCAGCCTGTTCTTGAAGTTGGGGTCATTCCGTCTTTTCCTGTCGAAATAAATACAGTAACCGACGAACAGAGCGCCGCACACCCCCGCGGCTAGCGCGCTCGTCTTACCGCCCATCATTACTCCCGGGACCCGCTCGGTTTACGGAGGATTTCACGTGAATTTGGGTTTTTTTTTCTCCGGTGGTCGGTTTATGTGAGGAGGCTGGCGGAGCGGCTCAGGGCAGGAAGGACCCGGAAGGCCCCCGCGGTTTGACAGCTAGAAGCTGTTTGTGAAGCGCCTGACTGGAAATGTGAAGAAAATGAAAAATATTTCCACAGTAAATGAAGATGTGAATTAAAAAAATGTTCATTGAGACATTAATCAGATATACGTTATAAATACTCAATAAACCACGTATAAACAAATGAAGCTGAATGATCAATTTTTATTCCATGAAAAATATACTTATATTACCACTGGTCTTTACATGTTGCATGTTTTAATGCAAAATTAAATGTAGGACTTTTATGCAGTTACTTAAACCCATTTAGACTAACACCATTTTGATGGATGAACAGACAGAAAGGAAAACAAATAATAAGGCCCACAATTGTTTATTGATTGTGTGAAAATTAAATCATATTTTGTCAATAAATCTGAGCAGGAAACAAACCCTGACAAACAGAGCTGCAGTGAGAGGAAAGAGGAAACACTAGAAACAGGAAAACTTCAAAGTCACATTGATCAGATGAAACTGAAAGTTAGTGAGAGCGACAGCAGAGCTGCAGTCGAGACAAATTTGTGTTACCTTCTAAAGAAAAATTAAATAGAGTTGATCAGGATTTCCTCCACAACTGCTCAGATACTGGTGAGTACAGCTGATCATATTTACTGTGTTTCAACAAGCAGCTTTAACACAAACTTAAAGGTGTAATCGAACAGGAAGCTCCACTCTTTTCATTTTGGTCTGACACGTGGCAGATGAACTCTTAAGTTAAACTAGAAAATTTATCATATTTTTTCACGTTTGCTACATACAACACAAAGTAAATAGATCTGTGAATAAAATATTTTTAATTCACACTTTGACTTTTGTTCTCAGTGTGTCGACATGTCTGCTGCCAGCAACCTGAGATCTGAAGATCAGTTCCTGTGCTCCATCTGTCTGGATGTGTTCACTGATCCAGTCACTACACCATGTGGACACAACTTCTGTAAGAACTGCATCACTACACACTGGGACATTAGTGACAGGTGTCAGTGTCCCATGTGTAAAGAGGTTTTCTATGTAAGACCTCAGTTGAGGGTCAACACTTTCAACTTCTCCACAACTTCACACTTTCGCGCCAAGGCGGCAGTGAACAATAAGACGTAAACACAACATGGCGGTGAGTAACTAGGAACGTGAAACTATCTGAAATATGAGATTTCTCCTCTCACCATTGACTTGCTAAGGCTGGCTAACATCCTAACGACGTTTACAACATGTTTAACCACGTCACTGATCACTAGTGTCAGTTAAATACGGTTGTAAAACTACTGTGCGTACTGACGTTCCTTTTCAACAATCTCTGTTACCATGACGACGCCCGCTGACACGTTCTACTACAGAAACAAACCCGCTGCTCGTGAACATCTCACAACTCTCAGAGGACGGAACAACACTGCAGTTACGTCAGCTTTACGACAGTTTAAGAACGTAAAGTGAGTCGTGCAGTACCTGTGGACTGATAGAGAGACGACCAAACGTAGTGTCTTCACCTGTCCAGAGCTCGTTTATGTCTGAGCTGCGCATGTGCAGAGCCTCTCACCATAATCCCTCTAGCAAATACACAACAGCAAAAACAACATCAAAAAACAAAACAAAGTTCAGCTTCAGTTTCAGTAAAAGTGAACATGTGGCCTTTTTGTACAAATATATAAGTAATTCAAATGAGCTCCACCTTTACCAGCTGCAACATGAAGGTAATGCTCACACATTAATGCATTATAATCTAATAATCTAATATATATGATTCTGAAATGTGTCGTTCTGCATAAAGAGGACTTTTACATTTTTTACATTAAGTAAATGTTGATGGTAAAACTTTTGTATTTTTTACTCAAATAAAAGTTTGAATGCAGAAGTTTTTTTACACTGTGGTATTTGTACTTTTACTGAAGTAAAAGATGAGAGTACTTCATCCACCACAGCTGATGTAGGAGTAAATTGTTAATTTATTCCTCAGTATTGTAGAGCAGGGTGATATATGATGTTATGTTCTTATGTTTAACATGTACAACTGTGTGTTGAGGAACTCTCCAGCCTGAAATGAGAAACTGAGACGATGGACAACATGCGACACATGTGACTGAATGAGGCCGAGGACTTGGTCTGAGTGAATCATTAGCCTCGTCACATTAAGAGCTCACAAAGAGTTAAACAACATACAGTCTGTTTGTCACCTGAACTCACTGTTCTCTGTCAGTTCTCTGCTGTTCAGTATTGTCACTAATGGAAAGTGTGTTCAGTAGAACCTGATTATTCTCTGTGGTTCTCGTACATGTTCCCCTGTAGACCACACACTCACCCACCATTATAACCTGCATTCAAGAGGTAAAGGGAAGTTGTGGCTCCTCTGTGCTGTTACACCTGAACACTCAGTCTCACCTACAGTCACACACTGAGACAGAAGCTGTGAAGTGAATGAAACTACTCTGCAGTTTCACTGCAGTTAAATCCTGAGCAGAAGAAGAAAGTGTTTGTGGCAGTGTTTTATTTTGAAAGTGGAGTCTTCACCTCAGAGTCTCTGAGGTTTGTAGCAGTCAGATGTGTTTCCCCTCTGTGTCCAGCAGAGGGCAGCATAACAGCACACATCAGAGAGAGGAGAGTTTTATTCTTGTTAGTGAAAAGTGTTCAGAGTGATAAAGTCACACTGCAGAGAAAAGCTGATGAAATAAGTGAGAAGTTTCTGATCTTCTGTCAAATGTCTGTCACTATAATCATGTCTGAGCCTGAAGCAGGAAACAAACCCTGACAAACAGAGCTGCAGTGAGAGGTGGAGCAACAGTAGAAACAGGTAAACTGCAACGTCACATTCCTGAAATGAAACTGAAAGTTAGTGAGAGCGACAGCAGAGCTGCAGTCGAGACAAATCTCTGTGTTTCTGTCTAAAGAAAAATTAAATAAGAATTGATCAGGATTTCCTCAACAACTGTTCAGATACTGGTGAGTACAGCTGATCATATTTACTGTGTTTCAACAAGCAGCTTTAACACAAACTGACAGGTGAAATCAAACAGGAAGCTCCACTCTTTTCATTTTGTTCTGACTCATGTCAGATAAACTCCAGTGAAGTGAAATTAAACTAGAGAATTTAACATTTTTTTTAACGATTGCCACATACAACACAAAGTAAATAAATCTTTGATAGAATATTTTTGATTCACACTTTGACTTTTGTTCTCAGTGTGTAGACATGTCTGCTGCCAGCAACCTGAGATCTGAAGATCAGTTCCTGTGCTCCATCTGTCTGGATGTGTTCACTGATCCAGTCACTACATCATGTGGACACAACTTCTGTAAGAACTGCATCACTACACACTGGGACATTAGTGACAGGTGTCAGTGTCCCATGTGTAAAAAGGTTTTTAAAATAAGACCTGAGCTTCACATCAACACTTTGTTCTCTGAGGTGGTTGCTCAGTTCAAACATGAAGCTCAACAGAAAACCAGCAGCAGCAGCTCAGAGCAACAAGTTTCCAAACCAGGAGAAGTTTCCTGTGACGTCTGCACTGGAACCAAACTGAAGGCCCTGAAGTCCTGCCTGGTGTGTCTGACCTCCTACTGTGAGACTCACCTGGAGCCTCACCTGACAGTGTCAGGCCTGAAAAGACATCAGCTGATCGACCCTGTGGAGAACCTGGAAGACAGGATGTGTACGAAGCACGATAAACCTCTGGAGCTGTTCTGTCAGACCGACCAGACATGTGTCTGCGTGCTCTGCTCTGTTTTAGACCACAAGACACATGAGTTTGTTCCTCTGAAAGAAGGATATGAAGGAAAGAAGGCAGAGCTGGAGGAGACAGAGGCTGAAATTCAGCAAATGATCCAGAAGAGACGAGTGAAGATTCAGGAGATCAAACACTCAGTCAAGATCAGTAAAGATGATGCAGACAGAGAGAAAGCAGAAGGTGTTCAGGTCTTCACTGCTCTGAAGGAGTCTGTTGACAGAGGCCTGAACCAGCTCATAAAGGAGATCGAAGACAAACAGAAAACCACAGACAAACAGGCTGAAGACTTCATCACAGAGCTGGAACAGGAAATCTCTGAGCTGATGAAGAGAAGCACTGAGGTGGAGCAGCTCTCACTCTCTGAAGACCACCTCCACCTCCTCCAAAGCTTCCCATCCCTGAAAGCTGCTCCACCCACCAAGGACTGGACAGAGGTCAGAGTCCGTCCACCATCATATGAGGGGACTGTGGTGAGAGCTGTGGCTCAGCTGGAGGAGACGCTCAGTGAAGAGATGAAGAAGCTGATTGAGGCTGAGCTGAAGAGGGTCCAGCAGTATGCAGAGGATGTGACTCTGGATCCTGATACAGCACATCCTAAACTCATCCTGTCTGATGATGGAAAACAAGTTCACTGTGGTGATGTGAGGAAGAATCTCCCAGACAACCCAGAGAGATTTTCTTACTGTATTATTGTCTTAGGAAAGCAGAGTTTCTCTTCAGGCAGATTTTACTTTGAGGTTCAGGTTAAAGGAAAGACTAAGTGGACATTAGGAGTGGCCAGAGAGTCGATCGACAGGAAGGGAGTCATCACACTGAGCCCTGATGATGGTAACTGGACGATATGGTTGAGAAATGGAAATGAGTACAAAGCTCTTGCTGGCCCTCGTCTCCGTCTCTCTCTGAAGTCTCAGCCTGAGAAGGTGGGGGTGTTTGTGGATTTTGAGGAGGGTCTGGTCTCCTTTTATGACGTAGCTGCTGCAGCTCTCATCTACTCCTTTACTGGCTGCTCCTTCACTGAGAAACTCTACCCACTCTTCAGTCCCTGTAATAATGATGGTGGTAAAAACTCTGCCCCTCTGATCATCTGTCCTGTCAATCAAACTGCCTGATCTTTTTTATGATGAAGCATTTACAACAATCAATATACATATTAAATGAATCTTTACATTGTATGTCTACAGTGTAAATATACAGCAGACACAGTATTTATACTACAATAGTGTCTCAGATGTAAATACTAGGATTCCAGTGGATTAGAGACATAAAAACAAACCAAACAATGACAAACTGATCAGTTTTTAAATTCAACATTTCACTGTCATTTATTATGTCACTGGTGTATTTACTGTGTGGTGGATTTTCATCATTTTGACCATTTACTGCTTCAGAGCGTCTCAGAGCTACAACATGAACACAGAGAGTACAGTATGAGTCACTGGTATAAAGGAGGAAAGATTATTTTTTAAAGGGAAAATTAGAGGAAATGTTCACGAGGTTTTTCAGTCAAATGTAATTTGATCTAATAACTGCAACAGCTGTTTGTAAGACTCAATGATACAGTATTTGTCACAAATCGTAAAAAGTGAAACGTGACAACATGTAGATTTTATTATTTCTATTTCTCTATTTCTGTTGATTTTGAAATAATTCCTGAAGAGCAGATCATGAATAAAGCAGAAGTCTGTCATCTGTGTTTCTCACATTAAAACATATAAATACAAATAAACTGTATTTGTTTGTTTTTTTAGTCACATGATCATACAAAGTCACACTTTGAAATTATACCTTCTCAACATGTTTTCTGTCCTTGTCCAGTAAATTAATAGAGTTCATAGGTTTAGATATATATCTCCGGATCTTTATTATTGATCACTTTACTATAAACTCTTTTGTTCCCGTCGGGATCCTGTAGGAATAATGACTCAGTTGTCCAGGTATCTGATTGGTCCCTAGTTTGGCTGTTGACAGGTTTTAATCTGATCTTCTGAAGTTCAGCATCAGTTACCATGGTGATTCACCCGGTACGAAGTGAACCACCGTTGTAGGAAGTTACCTGGATAACCTCAGATCCTGCTTCGTAGTGCAGGGCTCTGGGGTAAGTGGGAATCTATTTGTTTTATTTGTTTGTTCCTGTCTTTATTGAGATTTTGGATCTGATAAATATAAAGAAAACATTTAAAGGAACATCTATATTTATTCTATCTCAACATGATAAATGTTTGTCAGATCCATTTTCATGTATTTTGTGATTGAGCACCACTGAAACGTGTTGGTGTCCAGCTGTTTGCTGCAGCTGTTGTTCCCTCTCAGCGATCGCCACAGATTCAAGTCCAAGTGTTAAATATGTTCCTGTCTGACTGACGCTGAGTCACACAGACACAAACAGACTGTAACGGGCATCGTGCCCTGTGGCATTATGGGTACAGCAGGCTGAAGACACCTGCGGTGACTTCAGCCTGCCAGCAGGGGTAGCTGTTGGTCCAGCACCATGTCCACAAAACACACACACACACACACACTGTGAGAATACACTCACTGTTCACAGTCCAACACACACACACACACACACACACACACACACACACACACACACACTCCGGCTGTGAGTGTGTGTGTGTGTACAGAGTCTGCGTCCTGTCAGACTGTGATAACTTGATATTTGGAGGCCTGATGGTGTTCACATTAAAACAGACAGTCAGCAGCTCGTACGGCAGCATGAATGAACACAAAACACTGGAATGTGAGCATTATTAGCACACACACACACACACACACACACACACACACGCACACACACACACACTGTGCTGTCCGACAGTCACAGCCCTGCTGACTCCCCAGTGGATGATTTAACTGATGCTCTTGCTCCACCCTCAGGAACACCTCAGCTCCACTACAGGTGAGCGTCTAAAGGCCGACTCATGGTTCCTGCCTCCATGTGGTCGGGAAGGTCAGTGTGACTGTGTAAACACATGTGGAGCCTGCAGACCCTCACTGATCTTTGAAAACTAGAACCACCTCCTCGTGGTCGTATCCCTCCTCAGACTAGTTCCGGCTCACATCCCTATTTATCCAGAGTCAGAGAAAATATAAAATATGAACCATTGGTGTGAAATTTTTGTCATAATTTCTGTGTGAGACGTCTGTCCGCACACATCAGAAATTTTCTAACTACGCCGACGGGGTAAAGGCCAGTTTTAAACACACTGCCCCCTACAGTTTGGGAGGATATTAGTTTCTCCCGACAGCAGAAACCTGCAGAGTTTAAAAGCTTCACGTTTTCTTGTCGTGGACCCGCGTCAGCTCAGAAAGCATCGCCATCACCTTCACCAACCACGGTCAGGTGGGCTTCATGTCTGTCTGCTCATCTGACGGTTCTTCAGTACGAACACTGTTGACCGTGTTGTGTGTGTTTTGACGGTATCTTTCAGCCTGTCCTGGAGTGAGTGTGTGTGTGAGTGTGTGTGTGTGTGTGTGTGTGTGTGTGTGCTTGCTTTGGCAGCGCCCTGCTCTCCACAGATGGCAGCTCTCTGTGTGAAGCCTGCACTGAGGACCGTTAGCATGGCTGAAGCTGCTCAGACAAAGAGGACGGAGCTGTACGATCATGTCGCTGAGGACACTGTGTCTCTTCAGGCTCAGACTCTCACACTGACACATGAACGCGTCGTCACCTCTTGAGTTCTTGCTTTTGTTTAGTCGTGACGTTTTTGGAAAAACAAACTTTTGTTCTCTTGTGGCTCCGCTGCTCCATGCTAACGGTTAGCTTCAGAGGCTACATCTGAAGACTAGACTGTCCCATTTTGATGCGTCCTTCAAATGAAGCTGAGAAATCTGTTCTTTCCGTGGGCGGCGAAGGATCCTTTGTGGTCCAAACTATCCCAAGATGCATTGCGTGACGGTAATGAAAGACACCGGCAAAGAGTCTGAGGAGTGAACTGTGATGTCAGTGTTGTGTTTCAGCTCGGTTCAACTGTTACAACCAAGAGACTTCAAACCTCAAGTCTCGGTTAACAAAACGTGAAGTGTTGTCAAGGTTGCTAGGCGACAGGAGCCGCGCTTTGTGACGTAACGGTACGAGCGGAAACAGCTGGTGATGTCCAGACCGCCTCATTTCGGTTCGGTGTCCGAAGGTGTGTCACCTTCATAGTCGCCGTCGACCACGTCTTCTGAAAGATGTGGCCCCTGAATATATACGTTAGCCTGTTAGCATGAACGTCAGCTTCAAAGCCCCTCTCACCTCCACACACCTGGACGACCGCCGCGTGACGACCGCCGCGTGACGACCGCCGCGTGACGACCATGTGTGACAGTTGAAAACATTTTGGACCCAGTTTTTGAGTTACTGAGCAACGAAGCAACAACTTCAGCGTCAAGAATATCCATAAAATAAACCTGGACCAGCCCCTTTGCATTGTGGGAAACATAGGCAGCTCACAAAACAAACCGGGTCATGTGATTGGTCGGGAGGACGATGATGTCTGGGTGAACAAGAGGTGGAATTTCCTTCCTGAGGGGCGAGCAGATCAAGAAAACATGAAATATGGGTGGGCTCACTCACTGCACGCACACACACACACACACACACACACACACACACACGCAGAAACACACACTCCTGAGCTGTGGGAGACTCTGGGGGATTAGTGAGGAGTTGGCTGAGCTTTGGTGGAGTTTCCCACACACACACACACATGCACACACACACACACACACACACACACATTTCCCTTGGATGGGGGGGGGGGTTTAAAGAGAAGTGTTGTTAACAGGAAGTGATGGAGCTCCTCCAAACAAGCTGTTGTTTGGATTTCCAGCCTTGTTTGTGTGATCCTCCGTGCTCCTGTGTGTGTGTGTGTGTGTGTGTGTGTGTGTGTGTGTGTGTGTGTGTGTGTGTGTAAACAAACCATGTGGAGCTGCAGGGCTGTGCATGTTTTCTCTTGTTCCTCAGGTTAAAAACCAGATGAAAACTTTTTCTTTTCACACTCAAATAACAAATAAAGTTTAATCTAGTTATGCAGCAGACACACACACACACACGCACACACACACGCACGCACGCACACGCACACACGTACGCACGCACACACACACTCACGACACTAAACAAAAACATGAATCGAATCTGAATAATTTCAAACGAACAGTCAGACCCTCTGATCTATTTTTAGTGAGTTCATGTTTCTAATGATGGAGCTTCATCACTGACTGTGCCGCTCAGTGTGTGTGTGTGTGTGTGTGTGTGTGTGTGTGTGTATTTAAACCACACTGTGCTGCTCAGGAATGCAGAGTTTGACCTTGTGACATCCCAACCAGATTTACCCAGAGAAAAGGCTTTGTGTGTGTGTGTGTGTGTGTGTGTGTGTGTGTGTGTGTGTGTGTGTGTGTGTTACTCCTGGGAAAACACACTGATGGAGTCTGAGTGTTGTGTGACAGGACAGACCCTGCAGGTTGACCTTTGACCTTTCAGCAGCAGCTTTTTAAATAAAATGATTAACAGGTTGATTTTGTTCTGTCACCGTCTGACTCTGTTTCTCCTCCTTACCCACAATCCTCGGGGATAAGACGGACCTTCCCGTCCCACGCAGCTCAGCCGACCTCGCTGGCTAATGAGAACCTGCAAGTGTAGCGCGCTAACATCTCTGTGACCTCTGACCTCTGCGCAGCACATGGCAGTGATTACAGGAGTGGGGAGGAGGAACCTCGGTCCAGGCTGTGTCCACTGCAGCCTCAGGTTTCTGGTCTTGGTGACAGGAAGTGGAACCTGACGAGGTCTCTGCTGTTGTACGTCGCCTCTGTGACATCACCCACAGGTTTCTGAACCTCAGAGTGAGCTGCTCCACCGTCACCATCTTGGCAGCGTCTGACTCCCCCCCCCAACTACAACTGAAAATGGTCAAAGAGGAGGGGCGTGTGTGCAGCTGAGACTTCAGTGCATGTCGGTTTAATTACTGTGACAGGCACACGCTCTTGTTAGCATCATTAGCACATCTGGCTGTATTGCATGAAGGCTAACCAAATGCTAATTACAGGCTAATTAGCTAGTAAACAAGTCAAGCTAACAAGCTGACACTGATACCTGCTAATTAGTGCTAACATATCAATAAAATAATCAGTATAATAATAAATAAATAATATCAGACTGATAATTGCTCTTATTGGTTAGCTAACTAGCTAACCAACAGAACATAATGAAGTCTGGGCTCCTGTTTTTAGAGGTGAGAGAAATTCTAGTATTATTTCATTGATATGTTAGCACTATAGCAGGTATCAGTGTCAGCTTGTTAGCTTGACTTGTTAACTAGGACTAGCTGGGAGTTAGGGGGTGGAATCAGGTACTGCCAAGACGCTGACGGTGGAGCAGCTCACTCTGAGCTTCAGAAACCCGAGCGTGACGTCACAGAGGCGGCATCCATCTTTATTTACAGTCTGTGATTTTCACCGGAGATATTTTCTACCACAAGTTCAAAATAGAGTAAGTGACCCACAGCCAGAACACGCCGAACCACAGGAGTATTAGCAAAGAGTAGAAATAACTTCCCCTCCCTCCCTCCCCTCCCCTCCCTCCCCTCGGGTCGGTGCAGTCGGTTCCTCCCTCAGTCATGGAGGAGATGGAGTTTCTCCAAGGTCACGGTCGGCGGCTCCAGGCGTTAATCTCCTGCAGGCCGCCGGCCAAACACCACAGCTCTGTGAAGCCCCAAGAGTCCGTA